GATTTCCGATGGGAACAGACGGAGCCGCAATTGTTGCTGCTGCCTCCTCATCGGTGCCCTGATTTCCGGCTGCCTCCTCATCGGTGCCCTGATTTCCGATGGGAACAGATGAAGCCTCAAGTGCCGCTGCCTCGTCATCGGTGCCCTGCTGATTTCCGAAGGGAACAGACGAAACCTCAATTCTTGCCTGCTCAGGCATCTCGATGGTGTCTGCATACGGATCATTGACGACGACAGGCGTGTCTGCTTGGACTGGCGGCTTCTGCAAAGCTGCACTTGCGGCAGATGCTGCATCGAGATCCTGCCATGCCTCGAGATTCTCCACGAACGTTCGCGATAGAAGATCATGCATCTTCATGTGGACCAACAATGAGTTGATCTTCTTTCCGACCGAAGTGCTCGTACGGTCCACATAATCCGCAAGCTCGGCCCCCTTCGCATCAATCTTCTTAAGCTCGTTCGCACACCACATGGTAGCATGCTCCTTCTTGCGCTGGCCTTTGTCACCACCCATTGCCTTGGCCATCTCTATGACATTGGAGGCTGCCTGGGCCGCAGACATCTTCTGGACCTCGTAGCTCTTGAGGAACTTCTCTCGCTCCTCCAGGCCTCCACGTAGATCCCGGATCAGATCTCCTGTGATCCTCAAGACCCTCGCAAGAGGGCTCGAAGTCTCGACGTCCTCCCGCATCATGTCGGCCGGGAAATCATTTAGAAGAAAGTCCTTGAAGCACTCTGCGCCCCGCGACAAATTATACGACGGATTATCGAACAAGGCCGGGCCCATCTTATCATCCGGGAGCTGCAGGATATCCTGCACTGTCATCAGAGGAAGTGTGTCCGAGCTGCCCTCTCCTACCCAGGGAGAGGTGATCTGCGTGTCGATCTGCGAGCCCGATCTGCCATCGGTGCTTGTGCTGCCTTAGCTGGCCAGCATGATTTCGCTGCATGCATGTATACACATGTACACACACACACACACTCACACATATGATCGTATTACCATGACATGTGTACAATATATATATATATATATGCATGCAGTATACATGCACATGCATATATATGCTAATTGTCTATAACGACTTGATCTACAAACTTCGAGTTAAAGATTTGGGGTCCAATCGGTTTAGTTTTAGGTTTTGGCTTCGAGTCTGAGGATGGGGGTTTAGGGTTTGTGTCGGTTGGAAATATGAATTTAAGCATTCATGGGTTTAAGTTTGAGGTTTGGGGTTTGATTCGGCTCAGTGTAACTTCATGGACTCGAGTTTAAGGGTTGGGAAAGCTGATCATAATCGATGTCCATATATCATAAATTGTGCCTCCGAGCTGCTGGGCACAGCAGCATCCGAACCCATGGGCTCGGAGCCCTTGATCTTCTTTGTCGGGGGGCTTCGGGTGGGTGGGGAAGACTGCATAGTTGCTTGGGAAACGGAAGCCTTTATGGCAGGACTCATAGCTCTGGCTTTTGCAGCGGGGGGGTCCGGCTTCGCAGGGGGATCCGGCTTTGCAACGGCTGGCTTGGACTTGGCCCGGATATTCTTAGGAATCGTCGGGGCAGGCGTGTCGGGCAACTCAGCTCGCCCCTTCACACCTGCGTCGGTTGTCATATATATACTGCAACTTTAGCATAGGGTTTAGGGTTTAAGGGCTTAGGGTTTAGGGTTGTGTGAAACCCCTCTACCCTAAACTGCCCCAAACCCCCTGAAGCGGCCCTAGAGCCCTCTCTGGGGATCCAAACCCTGATTGTTGGAGGTGTAGGAGTGTGTAGGGTTTAGGGTTTATGGGTTTAGGGTTTAGGGTTTATGGGCATAGGGCTAGGGATGCCGCACCACACATGCGGTTGCAGGCCTTGCAAAGCTCGGGCGACTTCCTCGTCCACGGCTGCATTTCTCTTCGAAGTCTTCAATCGCGACGAAAGGCTGGAAGTAGAGCCTGCCTTAAAGCCGTTCGGATATGGAGCCGGGTTATATTGCAAACGAGGATTACATGATATGTGCGTCCAAGGCGTAGAAGGCCCATTACATTGCAATAGAGGCACCGAATCTATGGATTCCACGCTGTCCGGCTTCTTGCAAAGATACGGAGCGGGCCGCGGGTTCTTCGTAGAACTTGAAACCGGCATGCTGGCTTTGCCCGAATCTACACGACAAGAGCGCTCTTGTCACCAAAATACAAAACCTTGAGGAGAACGGTTTCACAAGCCCGAGGTCACTATTGCAATTCGAGCTGCACACACCGAGTCACGCCAAGTCACGCGAAATCACGCTCTAATCACGCAAAGGCCGCTCAGAGGAAGGTTTTACAAAGGGAAATCACGCACAATCACGCGTAGTCACGCTGACACTGCCCGGGGCTGGGACCTCTCCCATCGCGTATCTAGAGTTCCTGAGACCTTTCACAGATCATACTCGTGGCTCTGTGCGTAGAACCTACCACAGGAAGGCCTTACGTCTGCAGTTCCACTGGCACTATATAGTCGCTCATCCCGGGTTGTGGTGAAACTCTAGAAGGAATGCCAGGCTTGCAGATCGGGGTACAAGGTTTAAGGATTCCGGTCAAGGGTTCAGGGTGTTGGGTTAGGGTACGATAACCTCCAGGGCTCAAATTTTCAACTTTGGGGCTTTAGGGGGTAGGGTTTCGGATTTAGCTAAGTATATAGATGCGATATCGATAGTCGCTGGCTACAGCCTAGTACGTAATTCTGTTCGATATGATCCAACTACAGCCATGCATGTTTGCTTTGCAATATTATCATTATGCNNTGCTTTTCTCAGGGACCGGAGAATACAGTAATTAATATGATATATACATATAATATATAATTACCCCGGAGCAAGACGGCTCATCCCTGCACGGACCGCACTCAGCCGTAGCCAGCAGAAGCACCTGTGCGTGTGGAAGCTTATACTTAAGGGCTAAGTTTAGAACGTTAACGATAGCTACATTGTTGGATTTAGCATTCACAGGCGGGTGCTTAAGCAAGGGCTAATAAGTTTAGAACGATTTTGGATTTGAGCACCATTCGTCGAATCGATCCTGAGCTAGAGTTTCTAGGAGCGTATTCAACTGGGACCCCAATACCAGCAACTTGCAATCACCACCAAACCAGACCTCGTGGACAGGAAGACGGTGCTGGTGCCATCATCGCGCATGCTGCCGCCGAGGGGCCAGACTGCAAGACGGTACTAGTAGTAGCTCGTAGTAGTATAGTATGTAGTA